CACACACACACACACACACAATCAATCAATCAATCAATCAATCAATCAAATTTGATTGATTGATTGATTGATTGTGTGTGTGGGCCAGTGCTTTTCCACCAGCCCAACAAAACAAAAAATAATAATAATAAAAAATCATCAGCGGTTTTATTTTTTTATTTTTTATTTTTTATTTCGATGTTCTTTATTTATTTTTTTCCCTTCCCTAAAATGTTACAAAAAAATATTAAAAATCAAAGGCGTGTAGAGTTTGTTTTAATTTAGACGCCCATTTTTTTTAATTTTTTTTGCCTATTTTTAGGCCCTGAAAAATTGTCGGGGGTTCTTGCCCGCACTTGGCCGCAGGCGGTCGGCCCCTGTGGTCGGGTTCCTGACCGCATGCAGTAAAAAGGCCCGCGGTCATGACTGCGGGTAATACATAGCCGGAGCGTCCACCCGACCGACGTCGACTTCATGGTGGATTGTGCAACGATCATGCTCAAAGCAATCGAGGGGACCCTTCATCCTGATCCCGCATGGCCCCATGGGTGCCGTTTCAACTGCCGCCATTTCAAGGATGCGTGGCGGCCAGGATGGTGGGCACGGTCATTTACGAGTCCGGTCAGCGACCGAACATCATGTACCACTTCCTCATCCTTGCGGTGCTCGGAAAGTAGCGGCGATCGTATACGGAGAACCATCTGGTGATGATGGGCCCCGGGAACCGCACGGTGCAACGACGAATCGTTCGGGCCATTGCTGATGTGGAGCCACGTGTCCTGTCATACGTGTACGTGTCGGGGGCCTTTCTTTACCCCTCCTTCGTTCAACACCACTTCAACGAAGTGGAGGCGCCAACGACCCCGGCTGGGCTGGCAGCCTTCCTTCCCCCTCTCCTCCCCCTCTCAACCCTGACATCGATGACTTCCTCTGGCACTCCACTTTATTCTTCCTCTTCCTGGTAAAAAAGGTTGCGCGTGAACACACGCCATATGTATCTCCAAAAAAAAAAAAAAAAAAAAAAAAGTTTGTCTGTTACGAATCAGGCCAGTTGACAATGAAGTGGCCGCCCGATCGGGTGTATAATACGAGGACAGATCGGCCATGGGGCATTAGGAATAGATTAGGGGATGATCCAGGCCAGCTGACGATGAAGTGGCCACCGGATCCTCGGAATAATTAGGACACCTGCACAGCAGTCAAGAGACTGCAAATTTTTTGAAACTCTCTGCGCATCACATATGTGATAAGCCATGATCCGTACTCAACGACTTCTCGTACCCTTAAGGGAAAATCCCACGTAAGCCTCGAAGTACGGGCTCTAGGTGATCGGGAAAAGTGGGGTTTATTCTTCTTTTCGTTTTCTTTTCTTTTCTTTTTTCGCATGGTCGGTTAGCGACCGCGCCGAGAAATCCAAGAAACGGTTAGGAATTAGACTAAGTGTGAATGGAAATTTTGATTTCTTGCCGCGCGCTCCCTTCTGCACGCCTCTTCGTCTTCCCTCGAGCGAAGTCCAATCCTCTCCTTGCCAATCATCACGAACGATTGACTGTGTAATTGGGATGGTCGGATCAATGTGGTGAAAGCGGACAGCGCGCACCACATGAACAACCACCCAAATCACACAGAGCGTTCGACTTGCCTACTCGATCTTTCTGGAACCTTGGCCCTTGCTTTGTCCTGCTCATCTACACCTCGTGCTACTTTATTATTATTTTTAACTTTTTTAGTGGGTTTTGTATTATGTGAAGTACACATCTGTAAATTTTCAGTGCATTTAGCTATGCCAAAAAAAACGAAAAATCGCCAAAGATGGCGGTGTCGAAAACATGCTCGCACACTCACTAAATTTAATTCTCTTTTTATTTATTTTTATTTTTTTATTATTAGTATTTGCAAGGAAGATGAGCATTAGCGAACTCCAGCAATCAAACAGCATCATACATATGTGTCCAGATAGTCTCCACCTCGAACCAACAGCAGTCATGCATCACGAGATTCACCAAATCAGAACACACCAATAGTTCGTAATTAACAATGCTGAAATAGTCTCTCATCATCATCAACGAAGAACAAGAGTTGATATCCTATTGGTGCTCGGCGCCCAGACTACTTGTGGCAGATCCTATCTAGCGTAATACTACAATGCCGATGTTGACAACAACAGCTCCCTGAAGTACGAGCATACAGCGGACAATGCCGCACGCTTCCAGCACCAGGCATGTCTCTCGCAACACTCACAACACCGATCCACACCGCACAGATGCCACTTGTACCCAAGGACCACCCTGCGTCACACCCAACTCACAGCGGAGCAGCTCGTCTATGGCTGCCCGCTCCTTCTTGCTCGCCCGTGAGAGCGTGAGTGCCAGCCAGCCAGCAAATAGCGTAGCAGCGCTCGCGCAGCATGCAGCCAGCAAATAGCGCAGTATGCAGCCAGCACCCGAATACCGAATGAGGAGGCAGGCCCTTCCCTATATCGAAGTGGCCTGCCTGCGTCCAGTCCAGGAAGCTTCCGGTAGGCC